TAGTGCTCGCAGGAGTCTCTGCGACATTAGACTTTATAACTTTTTCTCTGTGAAACTGGTTGATCCTGCCAGTAATCATATGCTTGTCTTAAAGATTAAGCCATGCATGTATAAGTTCAGACCCAAGAATGGTGAAACCGCGAATGGCTCATTAAATCAGTTATAATTTCATGGGATGTGTTTTGTTAATTGGATAACTGTGGTAATTCTAGAGCTAATACATGCAAATACGTTCAACTTCGGTTGGATGTGCTTTTATTAGTGCAAACCATGCCCTCTCGGGGGCTGCAGGTGGCGACTCTGAATAACTTTGCCGAGCATTGCGGCCTCGGGCCGGTGCTATTCCTTCAAAGTATCTGCTCTATCAACTGTCGATGGTATATTATATGTTTACCATGGTTGTAACGGGTAACGGGGAATTAGGGTTCGATTCCGGAGAGGGAGCCTGAGAAACGGCTACCACATCTAAGGAAGGCAGCAGGCGCGCAAATTACCCAATCCCGGCACGGGGAGGTAGTGACAAAAAATACAATGCGGGACTCAAATGAGGCTTCGTAATTGGAATGAGTACATTCTAAATCCTTTAACGAGGAACTATTGGAGGGCAAGTCTGGTGCCAGCAGCCGCGGTAATTCCAGCTCCAATAGCGTATATTAAAATTGTTGCGTCTAAAAAGCTCGTAGTTTGAAAAGTTCCCCTGGCTTACAACTAGCATCCAATGGGTGCTTCCGTATGACTGGGAGGAAATATGGATGACTGTTTTCGCCGACTTCACTGTCCGGCTTACAAGAGTCATCAAAAATCACTTTGATTAAATTAGAGTGCTTAAAGCAAGTGTGTTACTTGGATATAAATGCATGGAATGATGGAATATGTTGTTGTTCTATTTGTTGGTTTTTGAACGATAAAATGATTGAAAGGAACTGTTGGGGGCATTCGTATTGTTGTGAGAGAGGTGAAATTCTTAGACCACAGCAAGACGAACTACTGTGAAAGCATTTGCCAAGAATGTTTTCATTGATCAAGAACGAAAGTTAGAGGTTCGAAGGCGATCAGATACCGCCCTAGTTCTAACCATAAACTATGCCAACTAGCAATTTGCTCATGTTCTTTATATGACTGAGTGAGAGGCCACGGGAAACCAAAGTAGGGTTATGGGGGAAGTATGGTTGCAAAGCTGAAACTTAAAGGAATTGACGGAAGGGCACCACCAGGAGTGGAGCCTGCGGCTTAATTTGACTCAACACGGGAAAACTTACCTGGTCCTGACACTAGAAGGATTGACAGATTGATAGCTCTTTCTTGATTTGGTGGATGGTGGTGCATGGCCGTTCTTAGTTGGTGGAGTGATTTGTCTGGTTAATTCCGATAACGAACGAGACTCTAGCCTATTAAATAACACACAGAATCTCGTCTTCTGTGGTGTTTCTTAATGGGATCAAGCGTGTTTAACGCTTTGAAACAGAGCAATAACAGGTCTGTGATGCCCTTAGATGTTCGGGGCCGCACGCGCGCTACATTGAGAGACAAAATGAGTTCTCTAGCCTTTAATAAGGTTAGTAATCTTTGAATGTTTTTCTTAATGGGGATAGGGGATTGCAATTGTGCCCCTTGAACGAGGAATTCCCAGTAAGTGCTAGTCATCAGCTAGTACTGATTACGTCCCTGCCCTTTGTACACACCGCCCGTCGCTACTACCGATTGAATGGTTTAGTGAGATCATCTGAGTAGATGTGCACGTACTTTGTATGTGTAATGTTTGCAATGAAGATCAAACTTGATCATTTAGAGGAAGTAAAAGTCGTAACAAGGTTTCCGTAGGTGAACCTGCGGAAGGATCATTACTTGATTTCAAAATCCGTTGCTCTGTCACAGAGTTCAACGGTACCCGTAAGATGCTCTATTACACACGCATTACTCCTGCCGTCCAGGAGGGATGTGGTATGTGAGAGGCATGATAAACTTGTGTGTATTCAATATGTATCGCAGCTTCCCGCGATTTGTGGCGCACTGCTCTATTGTGGTGTTACCGTCCACTGTCTTCGTGTGTTGTGCGCGTCGCCCTCGCGGGTGATAATACCTTTTCTTCGTTCGGGAGATGTCTGTGCTATTGAGAAGAAAAAACTCAAGACTCAATATGGGGGATCACTTAGTCCTTCAAACGATGAAAAACATAGTAATTTGTGGAAATTGATGTGAGTTGTGTAAATTTTGTGAGCATTGTGTTTTTGAATGAAAATTTCAGCACAGAAACCTGTCTCTGTGCTACATTTGTTTCAGTATATAATCCGTATCATACGTATTTACTGTTGCTGCGGCCCTCGCTGGCGAAGTTATGCAATAGTATAAATTCTCAATATTCACGTGAGTGATATTGTGCCAACTGTGCTGTGTATCTGAAATCAAGTGTGACGACCCGCTGAACTTAAGCATATCAATAAGCGGAGGAAAAGAAATCAAAAGAGATTTCCGTAGTAGCTGCGAGTGAACTGGAATTCAGCCTATTGCCAATTCTTATGTTTTGTACAATAAGAGATGAGGTGTAAAGGAACTCCGTGTTGAACTGATGCACAGCCTAAATATTATCGAGTGAGTTCTCAAAGAAGGTGAAAAGCCTGTTTGGTTGTGTCTGTTGTTGAATCGGAGCTCTTACGAGTCTAGTTGTTTGAGAGTACAACTTAAAGTTGGTGGTAAATTTCATCAAAGGCTAAATATATGAAGGGACTAATAGCGAACAAGTACCATGAGGGAAAGTTGAAAAGAACTCTGACGAGAGAGTTCAACAGTGCGTGAAACCATATTGAGTAAAACAGATAACTGTGTCGTTAAGTGATGTGTCTATCAACAGCAATCGTGTTACCGCGACGTGGTGAGCGTGAGCTGTTTATTCAGACGAGCGCTATCTGCTAGCATGTAGGCGATTTCTGTGTACTAGTACACATCCAGGCATTGAGAAACTATGCTGCTGCGGCATCGGTGGCCATCAGCTCGCGCCTAGCGTAAAGTTGATCACTGGGTTCAGCTAGCGGTGTAGTTTAGCTGTGTGACAGCTGTGGGATGCTGTTGTCGAATGTGTTTGCTTTGTCTGCGAATCGGTTCATTCCTTTTTGCGGTGAGTAAAATGCAGTGGGCAAGCTTCCTGCCATCAATGATTGACATTAGTTATTTGACCCGTCTTGAAACACGGACCAAGGAGTTCAAATGGCACGCGAGTCATCGGGTTTAAGCACCCGAAGGCGAAGTGAAATGCAAACCTATCGTTACTCGCAGTAATGTGACGCAGCGATAAGCTACTCATGCTATCTGGCATCTGTAGACTGAAAGCGTGATGTTTGAGACCCGAAAGATGGTGACCTATGCCTAGTCAAGATGAAGCCAGAGGAAACTCTGGTGGATGTCTGAAGTTATTCTGACGTGCAAATCGATAATCTGATCTG